TGTACAGTTTGACTTGTACAGTTTGACATGTACCATTTGACATGTACAGTTTGACATGTACCGTTTGACATGTACTGTTTGACTTGTACAGTTTGACATGTACCATTTGACATGTACAGTTTGACATGTTCCGTTTGACATGAACAGTTTGACATGTACCGTTTGACATGTGCCGTTTGACATTGTTTGACATTTACAGTTTGACATGTACAGTTTGACATGAACAGTTTGACATGTACCGTTTGACATGTACCGTTTGACATGTGCCGTTTGACATGTACTGTTTGACATTTACAGTTTGAACACCATAAAGACTGAAACTACAAGACTAAGAAACAGTTCTATCCTTGCACAGTCACCATGCTGATTGCTGCCAAGTGGTAAATATTCATTTGTGCAATACTTTTTTTAGGTTTTTATTTTCTTCTTATGAGCTGTTTAATATGCATTTTATATCTTATTTTTAAAGAGGACATGCAAAATCCACGTTTTTTAGCCGTTAAATACATTTTATTGTGTACTTGGAGTATCTCTTGGTGCTGCTAAGACATCCTTATGTTCTGCTTAGGTTATGTTTTTCAACCTGTTCAGTTTTCTCTATTTTCCATGACTTTTTCTGAATTATTATGTCACAGTTTTTGTGACAGAACTTCTAAATAAGGTCTGGACTTACCCACTGCAGTTTCTTCATTCTCCTCTGGCTCAGGGTCAGACTCTGGTTCTGAGTCAGATTCTGGTTCTGGGTCAGACTCTGGTTCCAACATGTAAGGCTGGATGGACAAGTCTTCCCTTGTTGACATCTTTAATTAATTTGTAACGTTGTGAACCCCTCTATCAAACTGAACCAGTCTGGAAGCTGGAGGGGGGCGGTGTGTTTAAAGATTTAAAGAGAGTCTCAAAAGGAGTTAATCTGAGACACACCCCAGAAAAGGGGCGGGGCTTGTGGAATTACAATAGGGAGGAGCTCAAACCAAAACATTGCAGTTCCACTTTATATATGCAACTGAATGATTTAAATGTGAAAGAGAAGGATTTAAATTTGTGATTTTGTTCATATGATGTTTCATTGTCATAATGATCATAAAGATTCTGATTKCAAAAATGTAAATTCAGACATGTAAAGTTAGACTTTCTGTTTGAATTTTGCATTAATTTTTTTTTGCTGCTGTGACTTTTAATGCTTCAAAAGGTTAAAGCTCATTAAACTGCATTTTTTGTGTATAAATTTTAACCCACAATAAATAAGCTAGATAAGAGATCATATCAAATCATTCACAATCAAGCCAGAAGCCTAGGTGTACAATTTACACGTTTTATTCTTGGCACCCTCAATAAATATTCTTTTTTTTATTAGTATTTTTAGTGCCTGCAGGCAGRCATGTCCTTCATACAGGAGCTGCAGAGACACACGTCACCATAAACCTTCTTMTTGCTGTAACTGAATCCGTTGTTTGGATATAAAAAGCATGACTCATGCAGCTTTGGGTACATWTAGACTGTATGACTCGGACCACCAGCTGAGACCAGAGGAGGTCTGTCCTCCTTCACCTGCAGGTTCTAACAGGTTTAAAGAGTCACCGCAGTGTGGTTCTGTRAGGATCTGAGATGACACACGATGTCTGCGCAACCATCGTCGTTCTGATCGGCCTGCTCTTCAACCGAAACAGGAAGTCTGCTAATCTGTAACCTGAACCAGGGGAAGGAAGAGGTCAGGAACCAGCCTTCAGTGCTTTCACCAATCGTATTCATCACCAGAGCCAGGGCCCGGGCTCATTTAGAGAGGGGAGCATGGCTTAACTAAACATCTTCTTCATAAAATAAATGCTTCCAGGTTACTCCAAAGTCCAGGTTCCACTCAGAGGAGCATCTGATCTCAATTTCCAGGAAGGCTGTAGGAAGCGGCGGGCCTCGGCCAGCAGCTCGCAGCAACAGAGCCATGGCAACGGACGCACGAGGCCCGCATCTAAAATAGCCTTTCAGGCACTCCTGGGGCTGGAAACGATGATTCGATAATTAGTTCCTGATGCGTCTCATTCTGTTTCGTATCAATCATGTCTACGAAGCCGAGTCAAACACAAATAAGTTGGTTGTTTGAAGCTGCAGCTGGTTGGATGGCTGGTTGGATGGAGGGTTGGATGGAGCACTGAGCGGCTCCTCAGGAAGCGTCACATGAAAGCTGTTTTTACTTAACAAAATGTCAAGAAGGCTAAGCTCCACAATTCATCAGAAATGTATTCCAAGTGAAGTGGAAGACGTTAAAATCCTCTCAAATCACAGAATGCACCTTACCTCATCAGGAAAAACACAAAACAAAACATTATTMATTTATTCCTAAATGTGTCACACAGTTTAAATGTTTGACTAATATAATTAATCTTTCAGAAACATTTATGGTTTGTTGAATTCATAATTTTAGGTTCTTAAAATTGATGTAGAACACCTAAAGGTTACAGCTGTTTTTAAAGCAGTAAAACAAACAAATAAGAAAAGACACTTTTTGATTGTTTTAGAGTGGAATAAAAATATGCTTTGCTCAATTTTTAAAAACATATCCTGTGAAATACTCTTTTTGGTGAGTTTGAGTTTTAGATGAGCTGAACATCTTGATTTATACACATCTTTAATTGATTTTATCGTTACAGACTTAAATTAGTTTTGTTTTATGTATGTGTTTTACCGTATTTGAGTTCACCTGCATTGTCTATTTTGAACGTTTTACAGCACTTTGATCACTGAGGATTGTTTTAAAAACGTGTAGAAATTAACTTAATTTTATTTGATTGATTTGTGATTTTCTGTCCTCCAAACAATGTTTGTGTTGTCTTGTGTGTTAAAGCTGAGTGGTTTACAAATTCCACATATTTCAATATGCTAAAAAATTGGATGTTTAAGGGGCCATTTTTAAACCAGTCGTGCAGTATTATCTCATCTAATGAAGGGTTTTACAGCTGGTAAAATAAGTATTGAACACATCAACATTTTTCTCAGTAAATATATTACTAGAGGTGCTAATGACATGAAATTTTCACCAGATGTTGGTAACAACCCAAG